TGATGTTAGCTTAGCACATGTTAATAGCATGACTTCAGACATAAATGGAAATACTGTTTTGAATTAAAATTTTTATCTCTGTGTTTCTAAAAAAAATCCAGTGAGTCTTTTGCCTTGTCATGATGTTATTATTCAAATAAAAAAGATGACAAGAACTTCAATTTCTGTTCTACATAAAAAAATTTTTAGAGTTTGTGAAACTCCTATCTTTACTGCTCCTTGAATTATCAAGTGAATTTATCTGTAAGGTGCCCTACACCTACATAAATAGTGATGTATATTTAAAAAGATTCAGACTGAAGTTGATTCAACCTTCTCTCTTCTTAACCAAATAAGTTAGAATTGACTTGAGCTACATTCATTCAGTTACAAGATCTTCATATTATAAAAGTATTACCATAGTCAAGTTATATCGGAAGATAAAGAATTAATGTGTGGCTAAGAAGTGTTGCTAAGAAAATTTGCTTAACAACTTTTTGTACATTTTCATCCCTTCCCTTGCCTTTCTCTGATGTGACACAGCTTCCCTTTGTTTACTTTACCAGATGAGAATCTCTTCTCCTACACAGCAACATACTTGTACATCTTGTTTTTCTATATCATAAAATACAATTATTCCTGCAGTAAAAAATTTCCTTTATATTCTAATAGAGTTTTGGTCTAGTGCTTCCATTTAAAAAGCAAAAGTTACTAAGGATGCTAAAAGAATCACCAGAACAAATTAGTGGAAAGGGGAGAGTAATAGATATGATATTTAGAGATAATTTAATAAAATTCCAAATTGAAATTCGTCATTTGGAACTCAATAAGAACACCTAAAATTAATAATTGAGAGACTTGATTATTGGGAAATGATTATGTTCTAGTTCAAAGTCAGACTTCATTTTGGTTTTAGCATAAGACTGGAACCTGTCATATATCTAAGTTTCCACGGTGTTCTGCCACAAAAGTGTCTTTCAGAGAAGAACTGAAAATTATAACAAAGAACAGATATTTAACTTTAGCCATGCTCAACAAACAATGAAGGAGAAACAAACACTGTTTTTTGAGGAAAGGTTTTCCAGAGAATATTTATCCAGAGGCTCTAGAAATAACATTTGCACAGAATAAATATACACAAAGTTTAGAAGAGGCCATGACACTAGAGACACTATCACCAATATCAGATGGATCTTGGCTGAAAGCAAACAATGGCAGAAGAATATCTATCTGTGTTTCATTGACTATGCAAAGGTGTTTGTGCAGATCACAACAAACTGTGTCTAACTTTGAGAAGAATGGGAATCCCAGAACACTTGATTGTTCTCATGTGAAACTTGTACTTGTAACAGGCAGCAGTCCTCCAAATAATGCAAGGAAACACTGTATTATTCAAAATCAGAGAAGGAGTGTGTCAGGAATGCATCTTGTCTCCTTACATTTCAATATATACGCAGAACAGATCATTTAGGAGGCTGAACTTTATGAGGAGGATTGTGGCATTAGGACTGGAAGAAGACTCATCAACAGTGTGCATAACCTTACTTGCTGAAACTGAGGAGGACCTGAAGTATTTGCTGCAGAAGTCAAGCTCAACATTAAGAAGACAAACATTTTCAGCACTGGGCCAATTGGCCAGCACCGGGATAGATGGAGAAGAGACTGAGGTTCTTAACAATTTTAGCTTTCTCAGCTCCACAATCAACACTCTTGGACTGTTGTTGATTGCCATTGAGTTGAGCATGACTCATAGTGATCCTATGAACAAAAGACGTGAAGCCTTTCTATAATTACCATCATTTCTCAAAGTTCGTAGTTTCCACGAGCAGTCAGGAAATCGGAAGATGAATTGCACTGGGGAAGTGTGCTGTCAGAGACCTCTCCAAAGTGCTAAGGAGCAATTATATCAGTCTAGAACTAAGGTGAGCCTGAGCCAGGACATGTTCTTTGCAACTACTTGCTATGTTTCAGAGGGCTGGACAATGACTAAGGATGCAAGAAGAATTTATGCCTTTAAGTTGTGACACTAGAGAAGAGTACTGAACCTACCATGGACTGACAAGAGAATAAACAGGTCTACTTTGAAGAGGGTGAAGCCAAGTTTCTCCCAGGAGGCAAGGATTCTGAACCTCCATATCATACATTTTGAGCCTGTGGCAAAGAGTGACCAAACCTTAGAGAAGGAGATCATGCTTGGAAGGGTGGAGGGACAGCACAGGAGAGGAAGACCTCGATGTGATGGATTAACACAGTAGCTGGGATAATAGGGTAGGTTGAAGTTAGTGAGACTGGCTCAGGATATGTACAGTTCAGAACTATTGTGCATAGGGTTGCTATGAGTCACAGGCAACTTGATGGTACATAACAACAACAAGAAGTATGCTCAGAAGCACAGAGGGACATGCACCTACACACAGGCTAGGAATGAAAACTTGTTTTCCTTTGGGAAAAGAATGCAATGATTATTGTTGCTGTATAAATCTTAACAAATTTCCTGGAGGAAGAAATACAAAATCATTTTTAAGACTCTATTAAGAAAATCACCATTGGCTTTCTTTTGATGGCAAGGCATTGGGGTTTATTCCCCACTGTATTTTTATATTTATTTTCATACAATAATTTACTTACATTGTGTTTCATTCATACAAATTGTTTTCTTTACAATCCTTCATTTATATTGTGATGGCAAGGTTTTGAGATATGTGGTTATATATGATCTTGTTAACATATAGATTGTCCTATAATTATCATTTTAGCTTCAATTCAGATACACAAAGCAAAGTACCGTTGATCAGATCTTAGAGGCAGTTGAGAGATTGTCACAAACAGATAAAAGAGAAAAAGTATAACAGTTGGGCCAGGTGCAGCAAAGCAATATACAGTTTCAAGGAAGGTATTTTTATCTTTCAGTAAAGATTTTAATATCATCATCTGCTGCCTTTATTTTATAAACTTAAAATTCTTAGCCCAGCATTTATAGAAAATTGCAAAATATCAATTTTAGATCAAAGTACAATTCAGTATTCATTAATTTCTAGGTTTTCATAAATACAGACATTTGGATCTGATTTTCTCACTAGCTATTAAAATTTGAATAAGAATAAGAAAACAATATTAACAATTTCTTACATTTTAATAGTATTTTACACAATACTACTGATAATAGATAACGTGTGTTTGGCACTTAACAATTCCCAAGCTCTTTACATGTAAATTCTTATAACTAATTTTGTTTAGTTCAGCAAGTATCTATTTAATACCTACTGTGTAGTAGATGAAGGAGGAAAATGCCTCTGTCTTCAAAACCTCTTATTTTGGCATACTCTAGTAATGTTTGTTGAATTATGTTGTTTATTGAAATGAATGTATGAATTAACAAAGTATCTGTCTGGAATTACAGTGTGGATAAATATAAATAATATAGGCTCCTCCCTTTATCATTTACGATCTTGAGAAAGTAATAACATATCCTAGCTTCAAAATATTTATCTATAATGTAGAGATATTTAAAATCTCCCCTAAAAAATTGCTGTGAGCATTATTAACAGTTAAGTGTAAAGTATCTGACATATAATAGTCTCTCAGTAAAAAGGTAGTTATCATCAATCATTATCATCACATCATCATAATTACTATTATTAACCAATCCACCCCCTCTTCCTCTTTATGACAATGGTACACACACACACACACACACACACACACACACACATGTGCATAGGCCCACGTTCCCTTTCTTTCTCTCTCTCTCTCTCTCTCACACACACACACACACACACACACACACACACACACACAGTAAAAGGGCCACAAAAATCAAGCAAACCAAGAGAAATCTATTAAACTGTAATTTTCAGTGGCTCTACTTTAGGTTACTTCATAATAAATGAGTTTGGGAAAAATATAGAATATATTTTAATTACACATTCCTATTATGTCATGAAATGCAGCATCAGGATTGGTGGAAGAGCCATCACAATCTGCGTTATACCTTGCTTCCTGAAACTGAGGAGGACCTGAAGCACTTGCTGCAGAGGGTCAAGGACTGCGGCCCTCAATATGGACTGAGGCTCAATGTCAAGAAGACATCAGGGTGGATGGTGAAGAGATTCAGATTGTTCACAGCTTCAGTTTGTTTGGCTCCACAGTCAACACTCTTGGCACCAGTAGCCAGGAAATTAAAAGACATATTGCAATGGGAAAGTCTGCTGTTAGGGACCTCTCCAAAGCATGAAGAGCAACGGTATCTCTCTGGAGACTAAGGTGCATCTGATACAGACCATGGTCTTTGCTATCACTTGTTATGGGTTAGAGAGTTGGACAATGACTAGGGAGGATAGAAGGAGAATTGATGCCTTTGAGCTGTGGTGCTAGAGAAGAGTATTGAATGTACCATGGACTGCCAAGAAAACAAACAGATTCATCCTGGAGAGGGTTAAACCGGGCAGCTCCATGGAGGCAAGGATTCTGAGACTTCGTTTGACATACTTTGGTCATGTTGTAAGGAGAGACGGGTCCTTGGAGAAGGACATCATGCTTAGGAGGGTGGAGGGCAGACACAGGAAGGGAAGGCCCTCTATGAGGTGGATTGATTCAGTGACTGGGGTAATCGAGATGGGTTTGTCAAAGACAGTGCGATTGGCACAGGACAGAGCAGAGTTTAGGGCTGTTGTACATAGGGTCGCTATGAGTTGCAAGCGACTCGATGGCACACAACAACAACATGATGCCATGATAAAAGACAAACAGGACAGGAAATATACCGACTCGCAAATTTTACTATTCCTCAAAATAAAATGTTAGCCAGTCAAGCAGGGGATCATGTAATCTATGCCAACACCAAAGGAAAAAACTTAGGACCCAGACGATGATCATTAAGAAATCAATCTTATTCCTATTAATGCCAGTGAAGCTGATCCAGAGTCATACAGAATATATGCTTTGCCACATCCATACATAAGATACAAATGTGCCCTCAGATTCTCCAGCAAGAAAGGCTTTACATTCCATAAGTCACTTACCATTTTGATCTACTTGTAGATTTCACCATAGGGGCCATCCCATCTCTATAAAGACTCTTGGTCTTGCTGAAGTTGACAATGTTGAAAATGACCCTCTGAAAAAGAAAAAAGGATTAAGTTCTTCCAAAGGATATATATGTATATAAGTCACCACTACTTACATTGGGTTAACTTAAAGGTCAACAGTTTCAACCTTCCCCTCTTCCCCCCCCCCCTTCTCCAGGGGAAGAGGATAGATTATCAGCCTTAAAATCCAATCACGATTCAGACTTGGCTCCACAACTGTGAGTTTCTTTTTTTCTTACTTTTAAAAAAACAATTTAAACAGGAAATAATAAGAGTTAAAGGGAAGCATAAAAATGAGCAACCAAATTCATCTTGAGGGTATATATACTTATGGAATATATTTGTGTCAGTTTAGCATAATAGTTAAGCACACACTCTGGAACCTGGAACCTTACGTTTTGGTGGTGTAGTCTTGTAGGGAACCAATTCAAAGGCATTAACAACAACAAAAGTAGTTTATTAAGGAAAATAATACAAGAAATCTTGACTTTTCAGGTTTCATGCAAACTGTTTATAGGTGTTTTCATAAGATACATTAAAAGAAATGACACTCCTAAGGTAACAAACTAATACTAGTAACAACTAACTGTTAGAGTTACTATTTCTGCCCATCAACAAAGGAATGGATAGAGAAGGGGTGGTATATTCACACGATGGAATACTATGCTGCTTTGAAAAACAAGGAACTCATACAATATTATTCAAAATGGGTGACCCTGGAGGACATTATGCTGAGTGAAGTATCTCACAAAAGAACAAATACTGCATGGTGTCACTGTTGCAAAACAGGACTGACATCAGGGTTGGGGGGGAGACTGAGAAAGATGGGTTCAATAAATATATACTGCATTGAAACAGATGAGGAAGAAAACTGTTTAAAAGGGACATGTGATTAGGTATTTTTGTCATGACAGGAGTCCAGAGCAAAGGCTGCATAGTGGAGTGGACCTGGGGGGAGGGTTTGTAAAACAATGTAAGAATTTTTCTTTTACTTTTCCAAGAGGGTAGTGTACTAGGGGGGAGGGATGGGAGGGGAGAAAAGTGCAACAATGAATGAATGGAAACCCAAAGTCTCTGTAAATTTTCATTGAAATTTATAATAAATTTTAAAAGATAAAAAAAGTTACTATTTCTGAGTACTGAATTTTGAATTAAGTATTTAGGTGCCTTGAGTATAAAAATTATTTGATTGTTTATTAAAATCAACAGGATAACTTTTGAATACGGGCTCATGCTTAGGGCTTATGCCCAGACTATGATGTCTCAAACATGAACTCAGTTATTTTGGAGATAATGAACTTTTTGTTGTTGTTGTTTTTTACCAAAACTTTTTTAAATAAATTTTTCTTTTATTACTGGTTAACTTGCAAGTTCTTATACATTGCTTTTCACATTGAGTCTTACTCATTTCTTTAATTCAGCCTTCCCTCCTCCCTTTACTCACTAAAGTGTACAATCCTATAATTATCAACCCCTGTAGATCCACACCTGTCCATTCTTCCCTGCCTAACTTGGGCTCTCACATCCATTTTACTAGTTATCTTTCTATATCTACAATAATGGTTTTATTGACTATGTGACCTTATAGGATTGAGTTAGTTCACTGAGCATAATGTTCTCCAGTCCCTCCCAAGTTAGATAGTAATTTTCAAAATTATTGCTCATGCAGGCTGCACACATCATGTGAATGTACCATTTCTCAATCTATTTGATTGTGATTAGACATTTGGGCTTTTTTCCATGTTTTTTCAGTGGCGAATAGCACTGTTATTATTGGTATGTAAGTCTTTGTTTTTGCCTCAGTGCTCATTTTCTCTATGTTCAACTTTTTGAGGAAATGACAAACTACTTTTCAGAGTTGTACTATTTTACAGTCCCAACAACAAACACATCCTCTCCAACATTTATTACTTGCTGCCCGGTTAGATTTTGCCACTACTACTGAAGTAAGATGGTATCTCATTGTGGTTTTGATTAGCATCTCTTATTGTTAGTGATTATAAGCATTTCTTCATATATCTGCTGGCCATCCAAATATCTTCCGCTCTAAAAGGTCTTTCCATGACTTTTGCCCATTTTGTAATTGAATTATCAGTTTTTCTCTTGTGGAGGCCCTGTAGGATTCTGTAAAATTTTGTTATGAGACCCTTGTCTGAGATGCTATTACCAAATGTTTTTCTGTTTTGTTTTTGTGTTGGTTTTTTTCCTGGTCAACAGGATTTCTTTTCACTCTGTTGGAATTTCTTTTCTGTCTGTAAGCAAATGTTTTTATGCACACAGGGATTTAATATTTAGAAAGTTCATCAATTTTATGCTCTATTGGTTGTGTATTTCTGGCTGTATTTGTCAGCCTTTTTATACCTTGAGCTGGGCATTCTAAGCTTGGTCCTACTTTCTCTTATGATCTTTATGGTTTTAGGCTTTACTCCTAGGTCTCTGATACACTTTGAGTTGACTTTTGTGTATGGTGAAAGTTGTGCAAACTGCTTCAGCTTTTTGCAGGTAGAAATCCAGTTTTCCCCAAACCATTTGTTAAAGAGATTGCCATGTCCCCATTTGATAGGTTTTTGTTTCCTTGTCGAGTATCAGTTGACCACAGACAGATTAATTTCTGGGTCCTTAATTCTATTCCATTGGTCTATGTGCCTGTCACTGTACCAGTGTTATGTTGTTTTGGTTACTACTGCTGGATAGTAGGTTTTGAAATAAGAAAGCGGATTGCCTCCCACTTCATTCTTGTTTTTCAGAAGTTCTTTGCTTATTTAAAATCTCTTTCTTCTCCAAATAAACTTGCCAATTGCCTTTTCTATATCTCTGAAAAATGACTTTGATATCTGTACTGGGATTGTGTTAAACATGTAGATTGCTTTTGGTAAGATTATCATTGTTACCATATTGAATCTTCCTACCAGTGAACAGAGAACATTTTATTGTTTTTTAGATCTTTTATTGTATCTTACAGAAATTTTTGGTAGTTTTCTTTGTAATGGTCTTTTGTGTCTTTTAGTTAGGTTTATTCCTACGTATCTCAATTTGGGGATGGCTATTGTAAATGGCATTGCTTAATTTCTTTATGTTTTGTATGTTACTGTAGAGGTATCTCATCAACTTATGTATATTCATCTTGTATCCTACCACTCTGCTAAATTAATCTACTAGTTCTAACAATTTTTTTGGTTGAGTCCTGGGGTTTTCTGTATACATTTTCATGTTATCTGCACATAGCGACAGTTTCACCATTTCTTTTTTGATCTGGATGTCTTTTAGTTCCTTCTGTTATTGCACTGCCCTAGAAAATACTGCCAACAAAATATTGAATAGGAGTGATGACAGAGACATTCATGTCTTGTCCCCGTTCCCAAGAAGAATGTTTTTATTCTTTCTCCATTTAGAATAATGTTGGCTCTTGATTTTGCATATATATGTTTCACAATGTTGAGAAAATTCTATTCCTATTTTTCTGAGTGTTTTAGTCAGGAAAAGGTGTTGTATTTTGTTTACTGCCTTTTGTGCATCAATAGCTAGGATCATGTAGTTCCTATTTGCTTTCTTAATGTCATGAGTTTCATTTATTTATTTTTTTTATGTTGAACCACTCTTGCATACCTGTTACGAGTCCCACTTGGTTACGATTTTATTTTTTTATATGCTGTTGGATTCTATTGCCAATACTTTGTTAAGGATTTTTGCACCTATATTCATATGAGATAATGGTCTGCAGTTTTCTTTCTTGGTAATATCTTTGCTTGGTTTTGGTATCTGGATTATGCTTGCTTCATACAATGACTCTGTGAATGTTCCTTCTTTATTTCTTTTAAATACTTCAAGTAGAATTGGTGATAGAGCTTCTCTGGATGTTTGGTAGAATTCACCTGTGAATGAATGCATCTGGTCCAGGAGTTTTTTCTTGTATGGAAGTCTTTTTATGACCTATCCAATTTCTTCTTTTTGATGGGTCTGTTCAAATGTTCTACATGTGTCCAGGTCAACTTGGGTAAGCCATGATTATCGAGAATTCTGTCAATTTCCTCTACATTTTCAAATTTCTCAGATTATAACTTTGTGTAGTGTTCTGATATTATTGATCTAATTTTACCTGGTTATGTTGTGATGTCACCTCTATACTTTAATTTTTCCTCACATTTAAAAAAATCAGTTTGCTTACAAAGTTTGTATACATTGTGGTTTATGCCATTCTTCATTCACATTGTGTTTCATACAATCATTACCATGCATTATGTTATACAAAATTAATTACCATTAGACCTTGCCCATCATTACCCTGACTTTCCACCCAGATTCTTCCCATTTCCTCCCCCACCACAAAACTTTGCAAGCCTGTGATTTCACCCCTACTCATCCTCACCTCTCTTCTACAACCCCTTTACCCTTTAAGCTCCCATACTTGTCTCCCTAGTTATAATTCTATTTTAACAATAATTTTGTTGAGTATTTGTTCTTATGAGACTGAGTTAGTTCACAAAGCATAATGCCCTCCAGTCCCTCCCAAGTTATGTAGTATTTTTAGAAATTGTTGTTTCTGAGTGCTGCACAGTATTCCATTGTCTGAATATACCACAATTCCTCAATCATTCCATTGTGGTTGGATCTTTGAGCTGTTTCCATGTTCTTGGAATGACAAATAATGACGCTATGAACATTGGTATACAAATTTCTATTTATGACTCAGTTTTACTTTTCTTGGGATATATTCCTACTAGTGGAAAAGCTGAGTCATGTGGAGTTTTTAAGTTCAACTTTTTGAGGAAACACCAAACCGCCTTCCAGAGTTGTCCCATTTGGTTTCCAATGGTTGTCCCATTTCACAATCCCACCAACATATATGAGAGATCCCACCTCTCCACATCCTCCGCATCCAATATGTATGCTTGCTGCCCTGCTAAACTTTGCTACTGCTACTGGAGTGAAATAGTGTCTCATTGTGGTTTTGATTTGCATGTTTCTAATTGCCAGTGATTTTGAACATTTTCTTCATGGGTTTTTTTGTTTGTTTGTTTGTTTGCCATCT